AATTTAAGCAGTATTTAAACAGCCGAATACCTAAAACTACATAAAGGAACCCAATAGGCTCTAGAAATCAATGATACAAAAATAGATATATGTTCCGACTCACTCAGTGCCTTGACTAATCTGCAATCCAAAATACTAATTGAGCCATTGGCTCTAAAAATTAGTAAATTTCTTTCTTTCTCGAACAAAGACATTAGATTCCTTTGGACCCCAGGCCATTGCAACATAAAAGGAATTGAGGAGGCAGATAAAGCAGCAATAAATACATTAAATAGTCCTGTCAGTGATATAATTACTTTTTCATCACTTGTTGACACAAAAGAAATATCAGCAAATATTGAATCGATTTGTGGAACACCAAATGGCACATTACCGCAGAAAATAATTAAGAGAAATTAAGCACTCTGTTGAACTATGGCCGAAATACACTGCTCTTCATAGAAAAAATAGGTAATTCTTAATCGACTTAGAATAGGCCACACAAAATTCAAACAAGGACACCTTATGGCAAAGACAGTTCCACCCATGTGTTCAACATGCAATGAAAACTACTCCATCAAACACATCATCGTCCACTGCCCAAACTCCAATGAAGCTAGGAAAGACTTCAACATCCCTGACAACCTGCATGAAGCAATTGTTCCATTTTCTAACTATCAAAACATAATTTTATAATAACAAATAATAATGTAAAAATATAATACTTTAATTAAAGCTAATAACATATGTGTTTGATGCTTAACCAAGAAAAAAAAAATTCATTAGAAATAAATAAAATTTAACCCTTATTTAGTTGTACGGCTTTGGAAGACCTTGCACCAAATTGCTAATTAAATGTACCTACTTTCAATGGATTTATATTTATGCAAACCATAATAAGGTCTGTCCCGAGTATATCTTTGATTTGACATGATAACATATTATGTTGTCAATTTTTTTTTTGAAACTATTCACATTGTTGAACCATGTCGTTAATAGTTTAATCAAGTCTCCGAGCAATTTTTGATATTGTTAACCAATAATCAATATATGTATAGTATTACACAGTGTGCTGATCAACGGTGTAACGGATACTACACGGTGCACAMAATTTAAAGCCCATGATTATGCTATGTAAGCTTAAATTAAAGCAGGTGATATTTTTCCGTGCAAAATAAGTCTTTACACTTGTTACTAATAAACGTAATTAACTTATTGTTGTTATTGGGTTTTC